CATCCAGTAGAACCCATACTAATATGAGTACCAGGAAGTTACAGAACACATGCTTCCAACTTCCCATTGGAACTTTGGATGAGAGAAGCCATGCAAATCCGGTGAATGTGCACAGAATAATACAACAGTATTTAGACCTTTCTAGACAAGTGTATGCGGAGGGTCCCAAGGTGGCAAAAGCAATGCAGTAAAAAGGGATTATGCACGAAACTGGAACAGTTCGCCTCTGCTTCAAAATTGAAATGGTCATATTCGTGAGCCAGGCCAATCTATTCACCTCTGCTGTACTGTTTTCAAGAAAAGACCTAAACTCGCGATGAGCTCGTCTCTATGTGACGCTACCCGTTCCAGTCAACTTTTTACCGCGAACGTCTTGGCTGGATGGTTCTCGTGGCAGTTTCTGTTCTCGATATTTGTAACTAGCATTCATGTACTCTATTAAAAAACAGTTTCCGATTCATAGGTCTGGGGATGGGGAATGCAAGTACCTGCATTGGGCAGTACATTAACTGGCGTATTACCTCACATTTCCGGAAGAAGTTGTTCACGTAATCGGCTTCAGCTACATAAAAATGGTATTGAAGTGACGAGAGAGGAATGACAATAAGAAAGCCACTCGTAATGGTCGTTGTCTCAGTGCCCTGAGATCGCCTTGTAGAAGACTCAATGGGGTAAATGTAAAATATTGTATGGGACAAGTGACAAAATAAAATATAAATAATATTGACAAAATGCGACACACAAGGGAATAAAACAACTACAATGTGGCCGGCGTGGAAAACGCTACTGGTGGAAAACTGGCACAGGTGTTACAGGGAACATACTGCTTATGCACCGTATTCGGCTGGTTCTTCAAAGAGGTCTAGGGGCACAAGAGAAAGGGAGACTGGCAGCTGCCCACGTATCTGCAAACAACGATACAGGGCAATCAGGAGAGTAGGCAATGTGAGGAATTTTGAGGCGCAGAACCCAGCAGCAGGTCGGCTGATAAGCTGTCTCTTTCGGTTCTGCAGGTAGCTAGACCCCATAAGGACAGATCACAATGCTGAACCGTTCCCGTCGAAACCACGCAAGAGCGCTTTGGAGCCTCGCAGATCAAGCCTGCCAAGCGGCAGACTTTTGTTATCCTTATCAGATATTGTCTAGGCGATCTCTATGCTGTGGCACTCTCTCGGCCCCCATATCTCCCGCTTAATCTCTCATATCCTTAGCACAGACGATTAGGAAGGTAGCGCGGCGTGCAGCCTTAAGATAAAACCGTTTTCAACGGAATTTCTAATGTACTGCCAGTGAATAGCAAGAATTAAGGAGAAGCAGACAAATCGATTAAAAATGATAGCAGGAAGCGTCGGCGGTAAGTAGCGAATGGGCGATGATTAGATAATGAGATCGAAGTTCCCGCTCGCTCAACTTAAAGAAATTCCGCCTTTTTGTTTGTATTGCTCCACCTGGTCGCCTTCATGTAATGAAATTCAAAACAACATTAACTATTACATTTGGTTGGGGCAATGTGGTGAGTGCTGGACGTTTTTGGCAAAGCCGTAACGTGCAAAATAAACAAAGCTTGAATGCTACTTATAAGAGTGAAGCAGACGTGCAGAGCCGCACCACAAAAAGCTGGGATTTTCATCAAACTCATTACACGTTTCCAGTTTGAGAGGAACTTCATTGAAATTTGTTAATGGAGGCCGCTGCATTCCAATATAGGCCGTTTTAGGTGTTAATGCGGTCGAAAGAAGGCGATTCACGCTCGGACTTCACGTGCAAGGTCGAAAGAAAAATAAGTGGCTTGGGACAAGCGTAACGCCTATGGAAGTTCAAGACAAAGTTAGAAGAAGATACGGCTACGTAGAATGTGGTGCACTCCAGCATGAAAATTGTTAATGTTAACAGACCAACACCGTTATGTATATGTAGCCACCCTTGCTACTGGCCATCCCACTTCTAATTACTGCATAAGGAAGGTGTAACATCGAACCGGGAAGTGGGTTTTGGCGACTTATCACGCCGTCTGATAAGCAGCTGAAGCGTCATTTCAGTCCCATTGCGGTAGATCCCGACCAGCTGCCACCTATGTCACTTTTCCTATGTCTTCCATCCAGCAATTTCCAGATGACCATACCATTTATTCTCGAGCGTCTAAACAGAGGCCTTTCATAGCCGGCGTACCTTCAAACTATGGCGATCGACATTCTAATAACTTCTCACGATTTTGAAGGAGCGATTGGCGTATGTCACCATTTTGCACATCACCGCTTTCTCCTAAGCCCACGCGGTGGTATTTACAGTAGCGGGGGTGTCCCGCGGGAAAAGTCTTTGGCCACTTACGGCCAATTGGTTTTCGAAACTAGTTTTTTTCTGTCTTTAGTGAGCCAACAAAATTTGACCTGAATAAAATACCACAATAAATTTCATACGAAATATTGTCTCGCAGGCAACTTCAGCTTGGCCGGCCCGTAAGAAATCCCCGGTCCTTTGTGCGAAAACGCTCCAGACAGAGGTTTGATGCCGAGGTACGGTACGGATCCTCGAACCTGCTCTATTTCAGCACCTTTCGAACCGGCAACGGGAAGCCCTATGGTGGCCCGTCTCTACCAGGTTTCGTGCAACTAGTGGCGGATTAGTTGCTATAGGCTTGAGACCGTTCCCGACCTTCTCGTGATTTTGGGGCGAGCGGTGCGACATAAAGTGAAGTTGTGGTTTCGGTTTTCCGGGGCACCATGCGGGAAACAATCCATTGCAAACATTATAAGCGCTTCACCAATCAGTGGATTCGTTAAGGCAGCGCTCTCCCGCTGGAGCGAAAACATTGCGCGTCATGAGCTTTCAATGTTGCCGCCAAGTTGCAGTTCTCAAATTAGGCATTCCGCATTAGCGCTTTTGTTTTACGCATCCATGCCAGTCGTGCTTTCGCGTGCGGTTTATCTGAGGATCCCACTTCATGACACCACCAACCAAGATAGCGGAGCAAGCGATAGACGGGGGGGGAATCAAAATGTTCCTGCAAAATTTAATGGCCTCAATAGCCTGTGGTCAGTCAGATCTCAAAATATCCTTTCGCCTTCATTTCACTTGTTTTAGTGGCGATATTGAGGAACAGCCATTGTGATGCGGTAGCACTGAAAGAGCTCCGCCAATTACCGTGCATTGCACTAACCACTGTCTCCAATCGAATTCAGAATACACTCGTCAATGAGGATGGCAGGCTGACCAGATTTGTGGTTTATTCCCAACTATCTAGATTCGGCGACCAAATAACTGGCATATTAGACAGGATAGTTCGGAGCTCCATCACAACACGTAGAACTCCCACTGCTTCGCTTCATTTTGTGGGCTTACAAAGACAGGAGCAGTCGAACATACCTTCAGTGGAAGGCGATTGTCAAGCTTCAAACGCTTCTAAATGCGACGACATAAATGCTGTGGAGAGACCATTAACCACCGCTCACATGCGTTCAACAGTGAATGTTTCAAAACCATCCCAGAAGATTTTGCAAGGTGAACAAGAAAATGGCAAGAACTTTTCCGACAACCTAATATAATAGCAGTAAACCGTTCCTAAGTTACAGACGAATTTGTGTTGGCTATCTGACAAGAACATCATTCACATCTACATAGATAGAAGATGAAACGAAAGGGTAAGATGTAATCTGAGGGCACTTGAATTCCATGGCAACCAGTAACTAAACAGTTTTGAAGATCACAATGTATGTCAACATATGTAGATGAAAAAGACAGAAGCGTACCTGGACAGGCAGGGGAGCGATTCGAAGAATTCTGAAAAAAAATTGATTAGAACTAAAGCACTGAAGTGTCGTTAAAACTGGCAGTGTGTAAGCCACTAATCACGAGCATGGGTACAAAAGTCGCAGAACTGAGAAAATGACTCTATGTTAATCCCATAAGCAGGTTTCCTCTTGGTGTCAAACAAAATAATTTCCAATTCCTTTGAAGTCGTCTGCGTTGTTGAACGTAATTGGATGGATAAAATATGACCCCCTTTCTCCGTAAGTTCGTAATAGTGTCAAAGACGGTTTGCACGCATCAAATATGCATTTCTGCGCAGCTACATACCCAATATTCATTCACAGAATGTGCAACGTTGAGTCCCGCTAATGCCTTCGAGCCACAATTCAAGCAATGCTATAAATTGGAGTGCTCAGTCGCTAAAATGTCACTCTAGATTTATTAGTCGATGTCACAGTGGTGGGCCAGCAGCGCTCTTCGTCGATAGCGCCAACGTAAACAGCTCCTCGAGAACAGCAGGTCACTTCTGCCACCTTTTATTAGCAAAATTGTCCAGGTCATTGAGGTCATGAGGGAAGAACGCCATTCACGAAAACATCGGTTTTCTTCTACTAATTATCCGTTGAATGGATTTTCCTTCTTTGACAAGATCTGAATCAGCATAGAAGTATACAAAACTTCCATTAGATATTGTCTCTTCATATTATTGAATTTTCAAGTGCTCTTAGTACACTCTTCTAAATTTTTAATCCTTCGCTTTGGTGGTTTTTTGGTGCTATTCGACGTCAATTGTATCGTGCCCTAATCATGGAGTGGAATCGCAGCGTTAGATGAACTTCTTATGCGGCACCCCGCGGGGGTCATAAACTCACGCAGAAAGATAAATTAAGATTGGTCCTGTCGAGCGTGACAAATACGTTGTTTGATGTTGATGTGCATTTGAACACTGAAAGACGTGAAATGGAAGATCCTTCGGGATTCTCCGACGAAAATGGTATGTTAAGAAAAGTACAAGTCTCCGGGGTTATTTTGAGAAATTCGAACATTCTGTGGCTATTTTGAGAAGCCGATTTGAAGATAGTATCGAAGGCAAAATAAGCATCATTCGACAGTGCTGAAGAACTAGTACTGACTGGGAGCGAGAGCTAAGTGTGAAGATAAGCTAGGCGAGTAAAGCGGTGCCGTGTTGAGAGTACGGTGTGGTGCACGAGGACCGTGGCAATGGTGTAATTTGCGGGAAGGAGCGTGCCAATTTATCCTTCACATTCTAAAGCTGCATATATTTTTCCCATTCACGTTCACAAATTCGTGCACATACCTTTCTCGTGATCAACGCAAATGAATCGGATACCGGCGTAAGTTTGACGTACTCGCGAAGAAGATTCGGACGTCTTCTCGCACAGCTCGAGACATGCGTCCACCTTCACGTAGGCTCTCAAAATGCAAAAGTCAGACTATCGGTCGATTTGGCAAAGGTTTAAAAAAAGCTGTGGGCGCATAACGCTTTTATTAGATCGTGTAAAAAGTTTCGGCACTATTCAACTATTACAACCCCAAAAAAATTTTAACTTTCGTCGAAACTTCGCCCGTAGAGGTTGTTCGATGCCCTGATTACGGAAATAAAATTCATTTTCGACGTTGGCGCCATCTGGCGCCAATTGCCGCCAGGGCTATTTTCACCGAATTCGCTGTAAACTTGTATCAGGGGTTATTCGGGGTCCTAATTACGGATGTGACGTTCGTTTTTGGCATTTGCACTATTCAACGCATATTTCCCGTCTTCTTGGGCTCTCTCACTTGTACATATTACCTCGGACTGAGCTTAAGAGGAGGGGGACTCCTACGTGGTTGAACCAGGCAACGTGTGGCAAATGTTGAAGCGTATGAGATCACAGGATGAGGGATTTACTCATTTCGGAGCACTCCTCTCCCCAAAGGCTTAGTCCTGATCGCGTGCTAATCAGTGAGAGGGCGCAGACGTGTCGAAAATAGGGGCCAAATAGCGCAAGCGGCAAAATGATGTTGTATTCGTAATCAGGACCCCGAAAAACCCCTGTATACAAGTTTACAGCGAATTTGGTGAAAATAGCCCTGACGCCAAACTGGCGCCAATTGGCGTCAGATCGCGCCAAACGTCGAAAATAAATGTCATTTTCGGCTATATCGGGCATCGAATAACCCCCATGTGCGAAGTTTCGAAGAAAATACAAAATTTTGTAGATTTTGGGGTTGTAGTAGTTGAATAGTGCCAAAGTTTCAAACAAAGTTCACCTTTCCAGAATTTCATTCCAGACGCGGAACCACAAACTGTAACATAATTTTTATTGAGATCTTATTTATTATTTTATTCTATTGTATATGTCCAACAAAGACAGTGAGTTCTGAAGCCGGCTGCAAGTCGAAAACGTTGGATATGTTAGGTTCCAATTCCCGGTAATCGTTGAATCTTCCCTTCGCGTAGATGATGCTTATATGGAAGAAATGGTAATGATATAAGGCTAGTTCTGGATTAATAACAGCGTAGGCAAGCGGTCACCATCGGAGCTAATAGTTCCTTCGCGAGGCGCAGAATTCCTGCTGCTCTCGTCACAAAAAAAATACAGTCATTGTGACTTCCGGGAATTTCCGTCGAAACTCACTATCAACAGAGCGAAACCTTTCCCGAAACCGCATTAGTCACCTTTCGGCTGGTTTTTAGTGGTTTCCCGAAGGACGGCCACCAGTGGCGTCGCGATGACGCGTATGCCTGGGATGCTGGACCTCGGTACCGTGAGCACCAACGACTTGGTGCAGCACCAACCTCGGTACCGTGAGCACCAACGACTCCTTCCTGGAAGGGCGCACAAGGATATACGATATATACAGGGGTGGCCAAAAAAAGAGACACTTCACACCACAATAAAAACGGAATTATTTACGCGTTGCGAAACCAAACCAAATGATCCCAACAGAATATCAACCCTTTGACGACCGCGTGGCCCACCGGTGGGCCACACTTTCGCTCGGTAGTGACACGTTTTTATGGGTTTATTTTGGCATTTTTTTTTGTTTTGAAACTACACAAATACACTATCGAATTCGTGGAATAATGCGCTAATTACTAATAGTGAAATTTTTGGAGAGTGAGTTATTATTGATGAAAAAATTTAGAAAGAAGTGAAGTGACGCATTCATAACGCCTGTCGTCAAAGGGTTAAAGAGCGCGTTAAAACCTATCAACAAGCTACACAACAGCCTTCTACACCGACGACATCAGAAAATTTTCTCACGGAAGCATTACGCACGGTACGAGCTCAACCATAGACGATTACGACGTCTTTCAAGCGCTGGTCAAAAGCGGCTTTGCACAATCACAGCTAATGTCTCTGGGAAGCTATTCAACAGCTAATTCATTGAAGAAATCATGTAGCAACTTCAGGTCGGAGTGAATACGGTAAGCCTCGTTGAGCTCGACGGTGACGGCAGATGACGTCATATTCTGAACACGGCGGGGCAGTGAAGGAGATCCTGTTTCTGTTTACGGGGGAAGAAATAAGGAATATTTCGCCGTAGAATTTTCATAATTTTCATGAACATCGGCCCCTTGTGCGACGAAAGTTCGATGGTGTGCGCTATGGGCTAAGTGTCTCCCTTTTTAGCCACCCCTGTATATATCATATATGAGCATACACTGATCCGTGTTACTCCTGTCCTCAGACTACCGCACCCGCACGGTTGCCCAAATTGCTATTATGATGACGGATGTTTTTTTTGGTTTTTGCCAGCTACTGTCGATGATACACCAGTACTAGCATTCCCTTGCCCATTACAGTCAGCTTGAAGACCTTTCGAACGAATTTCTCCCCAAAGAAGGCGCTACTATAAATTGCGTACTTTTGGCTGTACTTTTAGCTGGATAGCCATGACTGCCTTCAGATCAAGCCAGAGAAAGGCATCTTCACAAAAACTTAAAATGATTTACTCAATTCCTGACAGTGTAGACTGGTGTAAAAAAAATAGAATAGTTCTCAAATTTAACTTCCTAGAGCCTACCTGCATATCTGCGAGAAAGCATCTTGCGTGTGTTGACGGTCGTGCGAATGACCGGCGAGTTGGCTAAATGAGAGCTGTCCAAGTTGCTCACTCTGTAGCATTGGCGTCTGTTCCAGAGACTGGAAAGTTCTCGTTGGAAGCTCGCAATATCTCCAGTTGCTATTATGTTTATTTTTCACTTACACTCTGCATTTCGCGCACGCACGGCTCGATGCAGTCGCCTCCGGGCAGAGCAGCCAGAGCGCACGGCACTGAAAGCATGAAATCTTTTCCCGGAAAATTTCTCGTGGTTCACTTCTGAACCTCTTATTCCTACAGATCGTTCAATCGCTATGAGCTGTAGGAAGTTGCACAGTCTGCGACTTACAGAGTGCAATGAACGACGCCTGTTAATTAACACATTGCAGCCCGCGTGCTTCGCCAGGGACGGTAGTAAAGTGCCATAGACTGGGAGTTAAAGGTGATGAACTACGGCCCTAAACGATGGTACTTCAACGTACGGTCAGGAGCAAAACATTGCGCGAGCAGGACGGGCATATTATCAGTATTATCCAACGCTATAGGGCACGCTCGTGAGATCTCACCGGTTCAACTTCAATTAGTGCAGGCCATCAGCAATCGAAGATCAGGGGCGATGCCGTACTTGCCAAGGATTCGGAGTTTAGATAGGCTGAAGGCTTCATGCGATTTAGTAATTACCTTCGGACAGAAAGTTTACCAAATGGATTCGTTGGGACCTCAAACGAATAGCAGAACGAATACACTACGGTGGTTAGACTTTTTCATAGTAGCTCCGCATAGAAACCTATTGCCATTGCACTATACGCTGTCCGATGCCTCTCTCGTAGAGCTCCGTTGAATGCTGATCGTAGAAAGACTGGATGTCGATTTTGACATGATTGGAATGAGTTTTCTTAGAAACCGGTATCGAGAGAGAGTCAGATGGGCATCTGATAGCACGAGGTAAGAGCTATAAGGCGGACATGAGAGAAGTCCCCATTTGAGAGCCCCAAATTTTTCCTAGATTTTCCTAACAGTGTGTGGTTCAATGGCCGTAAAAAAGTAGACCTTGTGTTGCATTTCTTTCGTATTAAAACGTTGCAATCTAGCTGTGAATGGTTGACTTCCGCGTTGACTGAATGCACGTAGGGGTTTCCAAAGGTTAACTTCTCTTGCATCCCACCAAAAATCCAAGAAGCCCCTACTTGGACGAGGTTGAACTAGAGCAGTAAGAACTCCCGACGAGTTCGAGACTGTCGCAGTTTGTTTATTCGTTAGCGCTCTGTTTCCCCCTCCCCTTCATCGTCGACAAAGATGATGGATAGTTAACCAAAGAGTCCATACTAAGTCGACTCGAACATTTGACGTCATTGTAACACAACACAAAAAAAAATTGTATCGTATTTGGATGATTCGGGCTGGCATGTGGGACCTGAACTTATAATCCCGACGCTTTGCAAGTGTTTGAAGATGCAACAGTACTGTCACAGAATTATCTGGCAAAGGTCGATAGTCCAGCAAGTCCCTTTTCCACAGCGTCAGGTGGACCATCGAGATTTCCAGTCACTGGTGGTTGGAGTGTGGATCGTCTTCGAATAAAAAAGCTCGGAGGCCGAGCAGAGTGAAGCACGGGTGCACCACGAATTGAGAGAATACAAATCAATCCGGCTCCTTGGTGTAGCATGACATGCGGAAGATTCCAAGCGGTACTTATAAAAATCAAGGGCTCGAAGGGTTTTTCGCGAAATCGATGAAGTAGCTGTAACAAGTAGCGAGATAGCGAGCTGGTTGGTTGGCCAAAATTGCAGAGGTGGATGATACTTCAACAAATGTTGCGGGATTTGGAGATCTCAAGAAAAGATTCTAGCCTTCAATGGAATTTGTTGCAGGACTTAGACCGATCTGATAGATGTTCAACGGGAAAACAGGTGGAAGGACCAAAATGATGGTCAAGGGAGACATACTTGTCCTCATAATAAATGCGTTGCAAAAAGCGGGTAGCGTAGGAGAAGCAGTCAAAAACAACTACGGGTGCGAAATGAACAGATTTTTCCATCCCATCTATGAATTTATTTAAAGGCAAAGGTCTTGACTAGTTGACCAAACCAACGCTATCGGTTATGCCTGTACTCGGTACTCACGCACCCGTAGAGATGTTCCAACACTCGTGTGAAATCAGCTAGGTCGATTACCGAATCAACCGCTAGAACGACTGACATCTCCAGAAAACTTGTTTGTACGTGCCCCTTTCCCAAGCCTGCCTCCTTCACTACTAGTGGTAAATATGGTTTAACGGCCTTGTCGACGGTTTTCTCAGTTTCTTCTCCACTGTCGCTCCACTTACGTATCTCTATACTCGGTTTCAATCGCCATATATACCCCTTATTTGAGCCAGACTTTTGCCTTTGGATCTTTCTTTTCTCTTACATTCTTGCATACGTAAAAAATAGCAACGTGGGTAGTGAAGAAATAGAACTCGTCGAAAACGCTAAAAGCTGAGCGCTCCTCACATGATCCGGCTGTGCTCCCGACAATGGCTGCTGAACATGAAGAAGAGAGGACTGGCGGGAAAACAGAAGGATGAGTGGGCGCGGCTCTGCGCCTGGCAGAAAAAAAAAGATGAAAAAAGAAAAATAGAAGCGGTCGAAGCGGTCTTAGAAAGGCCCTAGCGCTCCTATTTGAGCCTTTTAAGGCATGGGGATGAAATTGGTGTGCAATTTGGTCAGAAATTAGACAAGAAAACTCAGGACGTGCTCGGGAAGAAGCAAAAGCGCTATGGAAAGCACTGAATTTTCCGCGTGGGTTGGCGTGGACGGAGAGAAATAGCGCAGTGCGGGGGGAGAAAACGCGAGAGCGCACGTTGTACTGCGCAGGCGTCACGCCATGATTGATAAGGTAGCAGCATGGTATCACAACGGATGGCCTTACCGCCGTTGTCTCGCTGTCTCGCACTTTTGATAGTGTTGCTCCTGCGCTTGGAACACCCCTCTTTCTCAAAATAGGAGGAACCGCTTCTTGACACCAAATCCCGCCTTGTGGCACTAATGTTGACGACGGCTTCAGAAATTCGTTCCGAACTCTCCGAAAAAGTTAGAAGGCTTGGTGAACTTGATGACAATGTTGTACTACCGCTCGGGGAAGAAAGTTAGAAAGCAACGATCGAGAAATTGCTCGGAAACTCGATCTCGTACCTTCAACTACAACTATTCGACGGTAGCTCCCGTCCATTCGAAGGAGGAGGATGCTCTCTACCGCACTAGGCAAGAGGGCCATACGAACTTACTTTGATTTTCAATGGGAAGTAAATGGCCCTTATGTCAGACAACGCACCATGAACTCTGTGACATGAACACGGTCACTCGTTTTTGTAACATGAATGCTAGTTTTTGAAAGGTGGTATTGAACATCTTCCAGAACAGCGGCAATACTTCGTGGATTAATGGAAGAGGAATGCGTTGTGGATTTGAGTGGATGTTCGATCAATCGTTGAAATTTTGATGACAAAACGAGCATGCATGTGGGATGGCAATTCACTGCCAGCAGTCTCGGAAACTTGAAGGACTGAAAATTTGAAGAAAAAACATCGATTCTACCCTTCCTTCATTGACCAGCCTCACCCAGGGTTCTACAACGGCTGATTGAGACGTCAGTCTGCATAGAACCTAGATCAACGCATTTCCATCCCCGATAAGTTAGCATCTCCTCGAAAATGATCTTATTGCCTTCAAGATCACTGTTTTTTGTATAATGAATAACCCCTAGTCAACGGATATAATATTTGGATCGGTACGCTGATCAGCCATCAATCAATTCAACTTGTGACTCATGGATATCTTTTTCCAGTGTCCAATGAAAATCGCATCAACGCGATTCGCCCTTTCCTACTTTCCGAAGTGCCATAATTGAAGGGTTGCCCTCACAAATGCCCTTCCTCCTCTCGTGCCCAAATCATCTTCAATGCACATCAAATCGACTTCCCGCATACATCGTAAAGCCATCACTCCTAGCGTGTGAACAGTGGAGTTTAATAAGTCAGCACGGTCGTGAATTTTCGCAACAACGACTTGGAACCATTAGAACTACTACGCCTAGGAACATTGCGGGAATTTTCATTAACTAAGACCGATTTTCTCGAAGGAGTTAAGATTTGGTATCTGCGGAGCCATTGGCCCGTTTTGCCATTTACAGCAAGCTGAGAACTAACGAGAGCCCTTCTGCTCAGCGCATCCATCTATCACTGTTGAGTTAGCCTGATAGAGACTTGTAATGTTGTTTTTGCGACGAGATCTGCTTCAAGTTTACAAATTCGGTAAAGTATGGACAAGCTCCAAGTCTGCATAAGAAAACCATGTGTCCTCTGCCGGACTACATCACAAAGATATTGGCGGGATGCAGCGCTCCAAAGGAGATTCCTCTTATTGGTGATGCTTGGTAATCACATTAATGGTGGAATTTCGTTGAAAATGTAGCGGCTCACTTATTTCTGAATGGGCGATCTGAATTTCCCTAATGAGGATGAAACTTTTAAAAATAAGTGAACTAATTAGCGCTAACTAGGCGGCTCATGGCACAGCTACTTTATCGCTTCCAGTTCCATACACAGAAGTTTGCGAATCAATCTATTGACTACCTCACTGTATTGAAATATTTGCACAATTTCCATAAAGTACTTTTTCTCATGTTGCGGTAATGGATAAAGGATAAAACCTTCGCCAATAATAAGTTCTTTTGGGGTGTGGCACGTAATCTACCTCTGTTTGTTAACTCGTAGTGGCGTTTGATCGCGATTTGGTACAAAGACTTGCGAAGCCGATGTACAATTCTGTGTTTTTATTCTTCCAGACATGTCTGGAACCAATTAATCGACCCCACAGGGATAGAAGGCTTCGTTGGCCCGCGACGCACGACCTAGGATTCGATCCCCAAGCCGCGCGCGGCTGGGCGTTCCCTTCCCACTATATGACTTCCGCTCTGTATTCACAATGCGAAGAAAACGCCACCAATGATGACTGATGTCTTCTGTTTGCTAATAGCATTGGCTTTGATTTGAGTTTATATAACTACTTAGGCGCGACTAAAGAACGGAGAAATGAATAAAATAACAAATTAGAGATCCCTAGATAAACCGATTTGGGACGACGCAAGCATCTGCACTGTAGAGAGGTCTCGAAGCTGAACATAATAAAAAAACTCACCACAACAGAGTAACATCCTAACAATTACCAAGGTCGTCATTGTGTGCCGTTGTTCAACCGGTCTCG